TGGGTGGCTGGGTAGGTGGCTGGTTGGGTGGGTGGCTGGGTAGGTGGCTGGTTGGGTGGGTGGATGGCTGGGTAGGTGGGTGGGTGGCTGGGTAGGTGGCTGGTTGGGTGGGTGGCTGGCTGGGTAAGTGGGTGGGTGAGTGAGTGGGTGACTGGGTAGGTGGCTGGCAGTCTGAGAGCCACAGCCTTCTTCCCCAGCTCTGAACATCCTTCCCCAGAGACCGCCCACTTCTGCCTGGTGCACTTCTAGCAGTCCATCCTGCCAGCTCCCAACAGCCCACGACGGCTAGGAGGAAGAAGTGGCTTGTTTCTTCCTGTGTCCTCCATTGTTACACCAACCCTGCCAGAGAAACAGGCCGATAGTTGGGCCTAGCAAAGGTAACCGAGAAGGTGGGGTCTCACCTGGAAGGGCTTCACCTGGAAACCTCTGTGTTAGGGTCTAGGCCAGACCCCAAGGCTGCAAGCCAAAACAGCCAATTGGTGGTGGGTGGCAAAGATCCACCTGAGAAGAGAGAGGGTCCTGGCCAAGTCTGTCAAGGAAGCCTATGACTGACTTTGCTCACTCTTGTATAGTTCCTCTGACCTTGACCATTCCAAGTGCAGGTGCTTCGTTGGGTCTGTTCTTTATTCTGATACAAATTTTCTTTCACCCCAAATCCTATGCCAGGCCCTGTGCTGACAGCTAACCACACAAGCTGAGGAAAACCCAATGCTGTCCCCAAGCAGCTCACCAAGGAGATGCCAAACTCAAGCCTTCGTGGAATGGCAGAGCAGATGTGACTCCAGCTGCTTGACAGAGGGTCCACTCAAGACCCCACTGTGATCCTCCAATGTCCTGGCATAGCCAGCCAAGGTTCTGCTTTTCACTCTAAGCTTCTGAGGCGCTCTGAGAAGGCCGTCCTCACAGGGGAAGCTTGAAGGGGGGCCAGCCCTGAGATGCAGAGACGAAGGAGCCATCCTTGCTACACTCCAAACCTCAAAGTTGCACCTCCCTCCCTCTCCACCACAGATGGAGCTACGATGACTCCCAGTTTACAGAAGAGGAAACTGAAGCTAACCAGGGTACAAAAGAGGATGTCTGAAACATCACAGTAATTTTACCTTTCCCAAATGATGACAAGAGCTGCACCTCAAGAAGTCTAGGATCCTAGTCTGTCCTGGTGTGTGGTGGGGGCTCTGGAATCCAGGGAAGGGTCAGCCGGAGAAGACAGTCTGGTCCCTTTGTTTCAGTAGACTCTCTTCCCAGGAGCAAGGACCAAGAAGTGTCGGCCACTCTCCAGACAGAGATGCCCATTACCGCCAGCACCCCTGACAGCTCACAGTATCCGGGAACAAAAGTGGGTCATGCCAAGTCCTGGGGGCATAATGAGAGTCCCGGAAGCCAGCTTTCTCCTGCATGACCTGGGGCTGCAACAGATATGGAAACAGGACTGGGAGGGATGAGGCACAGCCTCAGAGCTCCCTCGGGCTGGCAGAGGGAGCAGTGTGGGGAAGATGCAAGCTGCAAAGCCCGCCGTGGAACCCTGTGGGCGCCACCTAATGGCAAGGAGCCAAGCAAAGAGCAGATGCCACCAAGTGGGCTGAGCAGCACCTGGCTCAGGGGATAGGGCAGGTCGCCCAACCTCTCTGGGCCTTTTGTTTCTACCTGCAGAGTGGCATCAGAGCAGAGCCTGCCTCCAGGGTACAGCAGGCTTGGGGACAATAAGGGATGAGGATGTCATGCCCAGAACAGGTTCCCTTGAGGGAAGAGGACCTCAAGGGACGAATGCAGCGGCCCCATCAGGGGAGGTGCGGTGCACTGTCTCACTGCCTATCATTTTCTAGGGTGCGTTCAGTGCCCTTGTTGTACCTTCTAGACCCTTCTAAAGCTGCAACCCTCTCATACAGTTCTGCAAGTTATGCTGAAGCCCCAACCATAGAATTCTTTTTGTTGCTCCTTCATAACTGTTATTTTGCTACTGTTAAGAATCATAATGTAAATACTTGTGTTTTCTGACGATCCTAGGAGACCCCTGTGAAAGAGTGGTCTAAAGGTGTCATGACAACCATAAATTCAGGCTCTTGTCAAACCTGTCACACTTCCACTCAGGACTCCTCCTTCGGCCAGGTGTTGGTGGCACATGCCTTTCATCCCATCACTCAGGAGGCAGAGGCAGTTGAAGCCAGTCCGGTCTATAAAGCAAATTTCAGGACAGCTAGGGCTACACAGAGAAATCCTATCTCAAACCCTGCACCCTTCCCCCATAAAAGAAACCTTCCTTCTCCCATCATGCTTTCAGCTGCCCCAGCCCACTTTTGGGGGGTATGGCTTGTGACAAGCCTCCATTCTGCCCTCTTTGGCCCTAACTCTATCCTCCCCAACATCCTATGTATCTCAACATCAGTACCCTCGTCCTCCATGGTCACCAATATCTCCATTTGGTTGTTCAGGTTGTAAGTTCTGTGTGGGTTCCCACTGCATTTAAGTTAAAATGCATTAAAAAAACAAACAAAGGTGGGGGGACAACAGAGCACTCAACTCAGGGTGCCATGCCAGTGTCTCAGCTCTCCCCTGTGGTCACTCTGCCACTCCAGCCTGCCCAGGTGCTCCAGGACACCCCAGATAGGGGGATATAGGTGTCGCTGAGGTACAAGGAAAGGGTGTCAAGGCTGGGCCCACTCTGGGAGTTTCCTATGTCAGCAGCTCTGAGCCAAGGCTTTCAAGGAGATGAGTGGGCTTGGAAGCTGTGTCCAGGTGTGGGCAACAGGCAGTCTGGCACACTACCAGGCGGGTATCAGTATCTCATGACTGGACACCAAGAGTGCACAACGGATGGCTGACTAAGGGAGGCGATGATGTCACAGAGTACTGCCCCTGGCCCTGGGTACTGCCACCTCCAGAGACCTACTCCATGGAACCTGGCCTCGGGTAGGTGACTCCCCCCTCCCCCCGCCAAGAGCCTCTCTCAGAAGGTGAAGCTTCTGTCTACACCAGGGAAGGAGTAGGTGAATCCGTGGAAATAGTCCCTCTCTGACTAGGAGAGAAAAGCCCAGAGCTCCGGCCACTGCCCTGTACCAGAGGCAAGGGGGCATGAGGGTGCCCACAGAAGGTGTGCGGGGCTATTCCTGTCACATGCCCACTGAGGGCGGTTCCCTACGGAGCTTACCCCAGCATGTACACATCACCCACACCACGTGGTGAGGTACATGAAGCACACATTACAGCCCCAAACCAGAGGGTGTGGCAAGCCAAGGCCACAGAGCGACATTGGAGTCTGGCTCCCGAGCAAGTGCTCTCCCAAAGCCGCCAAGCTTGGAGCAGTTCCAGCGTTCTGGAGCCCCAGCTCGAGTGGAATAGGGGTGGGGCGCCGCAGTCCCCTGGCTGAGACTGTCCCTGGGAGTCCCACTGTGCTCCTCTTATATCCCAGTCCCTGGGGAGCAGAACTCGCCTGCCTCCATAGAGGCCACTTTTCTGTCACAGACCTGAGGACCTCCATGTGTGAGGCAGGAAGGCAGGTTCATCTATCATCGTCTCAGCTCTTCCCAGTGGCCCATTGCCCAAGCCACGTCTCCTCAGTGAAAGCGCCTACTACATCGGTCTGAGTGGCTCTGAGTCCTCTGGTACCATGCTGGGCTCCTTGTAAAGGGTGACTGGCATTTCCTCAGACTCCTCTCTCCTTCTCTAACATAGTGAGGGCTGGAGATAGATGAACCCTGGGGGAGGGGAGCCTTCCCTCTTTTTAATGTGGGACCTTTGATTTAGAGTCAACATGAAGAAGTTTTGCCTAGTCATCACTGTCCAGTGATGGCATCAGAGCATGTCTGGGTGCAAGTGCCCTGCCATTGAGGGTATGCCCAGACAGGAGACACACAGCTGGACGGCATCAGGCCTCCCTTCCCACCTGGCAGTCTTTCAATCTCTGACATTACTGCCCCGGGCCTTGCTTCAAGTTAGCTCACCCACCCGGACAAGACTACGTAGGTCCCTGGTTCGCCCTCAAAGAAAAGGGGCTGCCAGTATGTGGGAGGCTCCAGTGCCCTCTTGCAGGATGGGCTGATAGTGGGGAGGAAGGGAAAAACAGGACAGACCATAGCATAAGGACAAAGGCCTTTCTCAAGGGTCTGAGATCTGCAGGTCACCCCCAGGTGAGTGAGGGCCCACTCCAGGGCCCACTCAGGAGCCATTACTGGGTCCACATGGGAACCTGAGCGGCTCTGGCCTCAGACAGGGCCAGGCTGTCGGGTGGGAAGAGCCCAGGCCATGTCTGAGCTTGCTAGAGAGCAAGGTGACTGCTGAAGATGTGTAGCTCTACGCAGCTCATTAAGCCCACGGAGCTTAAAAATAGGGAAGCGCACAGGCAGAGGGGGCGGGGAGCACTGCGGCTCAGGTTCATACTGCAGAGGGGCAAGAACAGCATGCGAGGGGCCTCTGCCAAGCCAGGCAATTGTGAAGAAAGCCACTTGGTCAGCACCAAGCCCCCTGGGTAAGCCTGTCATGCAAGATGCTAGAGTTTCACTCCCCTCCCAACAGAAGCCTGCAGCCCTGAAGCCAAGTGTGGTGAGAATGAATACTGGGGGAGGCAGAGACAAGAGGATCATGAGTTTGAGGCCAGTCTGGGCTAGGCAGTGAGACACTAGCTCTAAAACCCAAGCCTGCTGTGATAGTGAACCCCTGTTATCCCAGAGCTTGAGAGGCGGAGGCAGGAAAATCAGAAGTTCAAAGCTAGCCTCAGCTATAAAGAGTTGGAGTTCAATCTAGGCTATAGGAGACCCTGTCTCAAACAAACCAAACAGAACAGCAAACAAACAAACAAACAAACAGAAAAGAACAACAATAAAAACTGAGGGAGAAGTCAGGCATGGTGGTGCACATCTGTATTCCCAGCACTCGGGAGGCAGAAGCAGACAGATCTCTGTGAGTTCAAGGCCAGCCTGGTCCACAAAACGAGTCCAAGACAGCCAAGGCTACACAGAGACACCCTGTCTCAAAAATAAACAAACAAACAAAAACACAACAACAACTGAGGTAGAGGGAGAGAGTGACTATGGCTCAGAAGACAGCACTGCCAGTCCAGTGGGACCACAGCTTTGCTCAAGGTTAAGGAGACAAGAGCTCTAAGCTGAATGCAGAGCACAGCTGCCCAGACATGGCAGGCACCTTGGATCTTCCAGTCATATCCCTTAGAAGCCCTCAACACCACCCCTCTCAGCCTGGTACCCCAGGCATCAGGACTAGACGGCTTTCACTCAAATCCTCCCCCTTTCTTCCTTCCAGTGGGGTGACATTGGAGAGATCCCTTCTCTGCCCTCAGCTTGTTTCCTCAGCCGTAAAATAGAGCTGTTGCATGCTCTGGGGGCTAACTGCAGCACCCTGCATGTCCCCATGAAACACAGGTGGAGAGCTGACTGGCAGGTGTGTAGACTAAAGAGAACATGCAGAGGACATGCGTGTCCCGGCTGGGAACTGCAATGTTGGCTGTGGCTGCCTTGCTTGATGGCGCAGAATGCAATTCATGGCTTCACTGGAGAAGGGTTTGAAGAAGTGCTCTGGGGATCAGCGGCTGCAGTGGCCACTGGCTCAGTATTGAGCCACACCACGATCAGCCAACACATGCTGGGCACCTGGTGACAATCAGCACCATCCCTCTGGCGAATACACACCAGAAGCTGGGCCAGCCTCAGGGGTATGGGTGGGCAGAAGGGACCCCAAGCGAATATTAGGCCACAGAAGGTTCCTGCCTACAGCAAGACCGTGACGGAAGGGAGGCTGTGGTAGGTTCTGACCTCCCCCACCTGGCCCCACTCGTGTGACACTATTGTGCTGCTGAGAGACATCAGGACCCAGGTTGCTGGGAGCGTGGGGCTTACACAGGGCATGAAAATGGGAAGGGTTATTCTAGCTGTTACTGAACAATAGGGAAACCAAAGCCCACAGATGGAAACTCTCTTCCCTTCCAGGCCAGGCACTAAGGGAGGCAGGGCTAGACACCATGACACTACCGGCCTGGCAGGGGCCAGCTGTGCTCTCCCACTCTGCCTCACTGTGCCCACAGAGTATGGCAAGTGTGACCTGAAAGTCCAGCGACCAAATCCTGGCTCTGTTAACTAAAGGTCTTGCAAATGATGCCTCAGTTTCCTCACTTGGGAAAATGGAGATAACAACAGTGTCTCCATGAGTACTCAGAATAGGGCCTTAGGATATAAACATGCCACTTAAGAATAAAGCCTTTGAACTGGAGCGGTAGCTCAGTGGTGTGGAGTGCTTGCTGATCTTGCAGAGGACACAGATTTGGCTTCCAATATCCAGATCAGTCAGCTTACAACTACCTGTCACCCCAGCTACAGGGGTCTGTGACCTCCACAGGTATCACATCTGTGTAAACACACAAACACACACACACACATAAAATAAACCTCAGCCAGGTGTGCTGACACAAGCTTTTAACTCCAGCATGTGGGAGGGCAGAGGTGAGTAGATGTATATAAGTTTGAGGCCATCCTGTCTACATAGCTCAAAAGAAACCAATCAAACCTCTGGGCCAATGGCATGCTTCAGCAGGTAAAGGTTCCTGCTACCAAGTCCAATGACTCAAGTTTGATTCCCAGAACCCCGTGGTGGAAGAAGTGACTCCGGTAAGTTGTTCTTTGACCTCTACATGAGTGCTGTGACATGTGACTCCCAATAAAGAACTAAATAAATGTAATGAAAGATTCTAAAAAATAAACAATTGAACACAGCAATTCCAGTGCTAGGTACAGAGCCGAGAGGGATGAAACACCGTCCCGACAGCCTTGTCCCCAGTGCTCACAGCATCACAGATCCAGGAGCTGTGAACATCAGTCCAAATGCCTGTCAAGTGATGAGTGCACAAACGCAGGGCACGGCCATATCCGGATGCCATCCACAAGACAGCAAGGAAGCCCTGGCTCTGCCCAGCGCAGGGGCACTTCA